AAATCATATCTGACTATCCTTCTATCTTTAGGGAAATATACAGATTTTTGTTAGAAGAAACCCACATCAATCATGTGACACTGACTCACACTCTACTGTTGTATAGCAGGCATGTTTACACACAATATAAATGTATGTATATGTGTTATGTTTTATATGTATGCATTAAAGTATGCGTGAAGATTATACTACATACATGATTATCGAAGATAGAAAGCTCCTTCCATTTTATTTTTATTGTTCTCCACTTATTTTTTTTTCTTTTTAAGATCCAGAACTTGCTGTTCTAATCCTGAGGAAGGGCTGATTTATGATTCCTTCATCTACTTCTATTAATAGAATGGGGCTTTAAATAAAAGCTGATTGCATGCAAATTTCACATAATAGAATGTGGCTGTGAATGGCTGTAACAGCACACACTGATGATAAATAAAAGGCTACCACTGCTTCCCCCCTACACCCACCTCTCTCCTTAATAGGTGTTTGGTAAATGTCATTCTATTTCTAAAGAAAAGGAAAAGTGAGGGGAGCACATTAAAAAGAAAAGTATGTATTATACATTCTAATCTAAAGTAGAATATTTGTGTTTTCCCCTCCCAACCCATAAAATATTTTATAATTTGATACAGTTAAGATACATTTAATCTAATTGGGGAATCCAAATTATTAATCTTCATGCAATTGTGGTAGAATTAATATGGGAATGTATTATGATGAAATGATGTAGCGCACTAGGAAATAATACAGCATACCATATACCTGGATTCTTTTCCTCTTGTTGTTCACAGCCTACTTCTTTCCCAAAATTTTTTAAGGGCAACCCTTTGGTGATATTTTTCTCATTAAAGCCCTTCTGAAGTCCCTTTATTCCTAGTGCTATACAGATACAAGTAAATTGTGAGATCATTTGTTTACTCTTAAGATACAAGTTAGGGCAAGTTAGGGCTATACAGTAAGTAGTCAATTAATACAGTGATTAAAAAAAAAAGTATGCAATAGCTACAAGCATACCAATGCTAAAGTAAACCTGTTCTCCAAATGGACAGTAACCTGTAGAGGTATCTTTTATCCTAGGTCTATCCAAAGGCAATGTCAAGGCAATTATGTTGATAAATAATATCTTGACATTGTTTGTAATGTCATACACATTTATCATTGTTTATTATTAAAATTATTATTATTATTAAAGTTATTATATTGTTGCTGTTGTTTTTGTTGTTGTTCTATCACCATCATTATGAGGGGGAAATGCCTATAATGGCATAGATTATGTCTTTATATTCATCAAGTTATTTAGGTAGTTGCTCAGCTCTATATTTAGTTTGGCATCTATAGATATTATTTTCAAAAAAGGCCTTCTTGTGCTGAATTGTCTGATAGAAAAGGTAAAGTGGTCATGTGGTGAGGGTAAGAGAGACAGATGGATAGTGAGAGTACTCTACTGGTATTCTTGTGACATTAGGGGAAATCATGGAAAGCTTCTAGAATCAAAGGTTCCCAAACTTATTTGGCCTATTGCCCCCTTTTCAAAAAAGAAAAAAATTATTCAGCACTCCCTTGGAAATCTATTTTCTTTACTCCTTTAATGGTTTTTTTTTTTAATTTGTGTCATTTCAAAAAATATATATTTTTTTAAAATGATGCATCTTAAATTTAATAATTTATCATAAATTTGTGGGGTTCTTCCTGCACTGAAATTCCAATGACACAATATTGCATCATGTAACCATAAAGTATAGTATTGTAAACAAGTCATTACATGCAAAATATTCCTGCCGACGCATGCTGCACTTCCCAATAACGCATGACATGCTCATTAGCCAACATGTGCTTATTAAGACCTGTCAGTGGACTTGACCACTGATCAGTTATAATTTGCATTTTGTGTGTTTATTTGGAAAATAATGTAATCATTATGACTTTAACTCTGTTTTACAACAGATGAAACATGTATGAATGTTTTTTCAAAATTTTCTTCTTTTCTCTCCTTTCCTTATGCTTCTACCAGACTTATTTTAATTCAAAACCCCCAATTGCACCTGAGGCTATTACCAATCCACTAGAAAATTCCAGCACCCTCTAGGGGGTGGTATCACCCACTCTGGAAACCTATGCTAGTATGTTGGGTAGGTAGATCTCCTGTGGTGAACTTACGGAAGGACATAAGACAAGAGTCCTACAAGATGGGTAGGGGTGCATAGGTTGCAATTCGTACAACTTAACGGAAGTTACAAATGGATGAAATGATAGATACATTTGAGTATATTGCACTGGATAATAAACTGCTCATAATAATCATGGTTCTTTTCTGATTTACTCTGGAAGGACTTTCTTGGAAGCATGATGTTTTCCACAAACCACTAGAAGCTGATTAGCTGAGAAAGGGAGAAAAATATCTAGGGAAATGGAAGTAATGAGTTATAAGTTATAAGACTGTATGGCTATGTAATGCCAATTTATACATATCACATAAATATCTAATGTAGAGTTTTCAAACTTAAAAAGGAATATTTATTCTATTTTGATTATAACAATTAGTAAGATAATATATATGTCATTTTAAGGAAATTGGAAATTAAAGACAAAGATTAAGACATCTATAACTTGCAGTATTGTTCATGGACTAATAGCATCAGTTTGGTCCCACGTAGGCATGTTCAAATCTAAAAAAGTTGTGTCTCTATCTCTCCATATAGAAACTTACTAAAAAAAGAAGTCCTTAGTCATATTATAAAAATATTGTTTGCTCCTAAAGAGGAATTATCTGAAGGGTCCTTTGAATGATAAGATCATTGATGTATTGAAAATAGAATTTGATTTACATACAACTTCTTAAGAAAATGTCTAATATACAAAGCCAAGTACCACATTAGTTTGTGTAAAGGCTCTAAATATAGTAATTTCTTACGAATCTTAGAGAATATCCAATTGCTACATTTACTGCTGTTCATCATTTAGAATCATCTCTATTACTTATTGTTGTTATGAGAACATGAGATAGATCCTAATTCTACTACTAAAGAAATCATAATATGATTTTCATGAAGCCAAAATATTTAGTCTTCAGTCAACATATTTAAAAAAAAAAGTATAGGTAATATGGCAGATTGGACAGAAGAATGACTTAGAAAGGCATGGGGTCTAGTCCAGCGTCTGACACAAACTGACTAAGTGACTCTGGGCAAGTGATTGAACCTCACAGTGTTTCTAGGCAACTCTTTTTTTTTTTTTTTTGGCTAGGCAATGGGGTTAAGTGACTTGCCCCCAGGGTCACACAGCTAGTAAATGTTATGTGTCTGAGGCCACATTTGAACTCAGGTCCTCCTGAATCCAGGGCTGGTGCTCTATCCACTGTGCCACCTAGCTGCCCCTAGGCAACTCTAAAGACTATAAGTTATAGATGTCCATATGTATCAGTGGAGTGATTTTCCACAGTAAGACTTCCCCACAGTGATTAAATTCTTTGTTCAGACCTTCATCCTCTCCATCCCCAAATTAAAACATAGCTTAGTCAACCTGGATATCTGGCACATGGAGGCAACATGATGAAATTCTGGACTGAACTGACTGGACAACACGGTTTCCTGCAGGGATAGGCTGAGAGACACTCAGTCAAACAATAAGCATTTATTAAGTGCCTATTGCGCAGCATGCATTGTGTTAGGCCACAGGGAAAATAGAAAAGTGAAACAGTCTTTACTCAAAGATTTTAAATCTACAGTATTAGACATATAGAGTCTATAGTACTTACCTTAACTAGATAGCAAGTGAATGGCCAAACTGAAACTAGAAATGCAGAGTCCTTTGATTTGCTACTTCATTGCACAACCCATTGAACTACACCTAATTTTGTGGTACTTTTAACAATCATTTGGAGAGACCAAAAAACAGAACTCAAACATGCTGTTTGAACTTGCTGTTAAGTCAGGCCATGCTCTTCTTCCCTGAGTCAAATACACTAAAGAAAAAAACCCTCTCAATACAAATTCAAAATTGGAATTTTTATCAAAGGAAGGACAACGGCCAAGGCTCCCTTTTGTCATCTTACATTTGCTTAGTGAGAAGCAGAAAGGATAGTGAAGAGCAGAGGATCACTGGCTTCAGAGGAGAACACTGAATTGTTACTATAAATAGTAAATTTATTCCAGTAGGTACAGATAGGGAACAATTACTTTGACAGACCTGCCAAGGCTAGAGTCAGCTTCACAGGCCAAAGAATATATTTTTTTCCAAACATTTGAACCCCAACTAACTCATTTTGCTAATAATGAGGTTTTGTTCCCATTTAATTGTTAAGAATATCTAATAGTAAATGATAATGATTTGGCTCCATTCCCCCATTAATCTTTGACTATGACCCCATAAATATTCTATAATGCAGTTTTGCACAGACACAGATTTATCTCTGGTAATGTAGCAATTAGCCTTTACCTACTATTCACATGCATATTTAGTGCACTTATGTGATGTTGGCATTTTGTTGTGGTTGTTGTTGGTCTGCACTTGTTATTTAAATGGTATAAGGAACTCTGCTGAGGAAATTGTCTTAATCAATGCAGATCAGCACCTGCTCTGCAACTTGTAGTCATTAAGTTATTGGGCTTGGTTACCAAGGGAGTCGACGACTTGCCCAAGATTACCTGGACAATATGTGTCAGAGGTGGATGCAGAAGGTTCATGTTCTGATCAAACAATGTACCATTCAGTGTAAGTAGCTGCTTTTCTGGGTAACACAGCAGATAGAATGCTGGACTTGGAGTCCAAGGCCTGAGCTCACTTACTAGCTGTGTAATCCTGGGCAAGTCATTTAACCCTTGTCAACATCTTTTGTCATCTGAAAAATGAGGGGGTTGAACTCAATGGCCTTTAAGGTCTCTTCTCCCTCTAAACCTCTGATTCTCATATAGATTGGGACTTTGTTAGATGTCTCAAAGAAAGGACAATAAAACTTTATGAACACTTTGAAAATACACATTAAAAAACTACATCTGCTAACATACCTATACTCCAATCCATTTCTTCCACAGCATCCCCATACATGCCATGTTTGCTCTTGCCCACGAACTCCTTCGCAGAAAAAAGTGCAGTGTGGACATGAATGTAAGATAAGAAAAGAAGGAAGGGCGTCCCGGTGTTCCTAAAAAAGACCAACACAAAAGGCAGAAGCACATTTGTTACAGATATGGTTAAGGAAAAAATTACAAAGAAATATATGATGGTGTTGCAAAATACCTGTAAAGAAGGAAGTCACGTAAGGTATCTAAAATGTAACTTTGTATTATTCCTTAAGAATGAGTAAACTGAAGGACCAAATCAGGGGTGGGCAACCTGCAGCCTTGAGGCCACATGTGGCCTTCTAGATCCTTGGGTGTGACCTTTTTACTAAATCTATGTTTTACAAAACAAATCCCTTTTATTAAGGGGATTTGTTCTGTGAAGTTTGGATTCAGTCAAAGGGCCACACTTGAGGACCTAGAAGGCCACATGTGGTCTCAAGGCCACAGGTTCCACACCCCTGTACCAAATGTTTGTGACTATCCCAAAAAATTACACAGGTCAGGCAGAAATATAGTGAAAACTTCTTAGTTTGCAGTATTCTGTTATATATAGTATCTAATTGTGCAATGAAATATCCTAAAATTAGCAGTTCTTTAGAGGTGGAGACTTGGGGATGGAGGTGGAGTAATGAAATGATACCACTTGTTCAAGCTAGTAACTTGATACTACTATACTTTACCTTTCTGAAAGATACTTAGACTACACTTCCTGTCCATTTCCCCTTGACTTCCACTAGAAAAAAACTCCAAAATCTTTGGCTCTCTTGGAAATAGGGCTGACTGAAACAGGGTATAAGGAAGTGTTGGTTTTTCAAATAGGGAGTTTTCCCCCTTTAATGGTATCTAACTTGTGCCTACTTTTATATTGTTAAAATAAACAAAATTTTGGAAAATGTATTAATTGCCAAAGTTTGAATCTTTCTTTGGGTACTCAAAATTCAATTAAGCTCCATTAAACAAATATTTATCAATAGCTTATATCATGAATGACATGTTTATATGATGAGGAACTATAAAGATGTGATAAAAGTCAATCACTGTCCATAAGGAATTTATAATCAATTCAAAGTCCAAGTCCAACACTTAATAGTTACATAGCCAAAAACAAATCCCTTAACTACTCTGGGCCTCAGTTTTTCCATTTGTCAAATGGGATGGAGGAGTAATATATTATTTACCTCACAAGGTTATTTAAAGAGAGTGCTTTATAAACTATAAAGTGCTATATGCAGGTGGGTTTTTCTTATTATAATTGTTGAGATAAGTTACACAATTAGAGCCAGAAAATAATAGAATCTGAGAATTAAAAGGGAATTAATGGCTCATCTAATCCAAACTTCCATCAATTGATAAACATTTATTATTACATTCCAGGCACTCTCTTCCACAATGCAAATGACAAATGAACATTTAGCTTCTTCCCGAAGACCTCCAGTGATGACTAACTCATTACTTCCTAATCAACCTAGTCCATTTTTTGATAGTTCTAACTCTTAGAAAGTGTTTTCCTTTCACTGAAACACAATTCAATTCCATGTAACACCTACAGACTTCCCTTGGACAGACTTGAAAAGATAGTGGAGGATAAAAAGACCTGGTTTACTATGGTCCATTGGGTCACGAAGAGCCAGAAGCCAGTAAATGACTAAATAACAACAACAAACACCTATCTATTCCTTTCAGTTCTGCCTTCTAGAGCCAGAAAGAGCAAATTTAATATTTTTCTTCATAGGACAGCTCTTCAAAATACCTGAAAACTATTACCCTGTCAAATTTTCTCTTTTCTAATCTAAATATCCAATTCTTTAAATTTATCCGCACATGGTAAGGTTTCTAACCCTTTTACTACCTTGTTTGATGTCAAGTGGACAATCTTTATAGCAATGTCCCTCCCAAAATGTGGCTCCCAGAACTAGGCACAATACTCTATGTTTAGTCTGAACAAAGCAAAATATACTGAATTATCATTCTGCATAATAGTCATCCATTAAATCAACCTATGGTCTGATTAGGTCATTGTCCTTCCTTCTTTCTTTCTTTTTCTTTTTTTTTTTTTCTGGTGAGGCAATTGGGAGTGATGTGCCCAGAGTCACACAGCTAGTTAAGTGTTATGTGTCTGCGGCCTGATTTGAACTCAGGTCCTCCTGACTCCATGCCCAGTGCTCTATCTACTACGTCACCTAGCTGCCACCTTCCTTCCTTCTTTTGTTTCTTCCTCCCTTCATTCCTTCCTCTCCCATCCCAATGCTGATTTATGTTGAATTTGAAATCTTCTGAAGCCCCCACACAGATTGTCTTTGAATTATAACTATGCCATCCCATACTTATACACTTTTGGGGAGGTGTCTGGGGAAGACTCATTACAGGAGGAAGGTCTGTTTTTCTCTAAGAAGTTGGAGTGTGGAGGAGGAAATGTCCTCTGACTTTGATATTCAGGGTTCTCTGAGAATTTTAAGACTCAAGGCTGCAGATTTTACCTAGTAGGAATAAGGGACACTTGTGCCCTTTTCAAAAGAGGCTTTTTAAGCATAAAATGCTTAAGAAACTTTGTCTACATGGGACTTGAATTTTCCAATCTGCATGTTATCTACCAGAAGAAGAAAGAGGAAGCATCTTGGAAGCTAGAGAGAGATAAAGAATCAACCATCCAAGCCCATCTATATAAAATGCATGCCTCTGTCTCTACGTATAGTAATCCACTCAGTTTGAAACTGACCTGGGACTAACCTTGATTTGCAAGTGAATGTTAACTAATCTAAAAGGGTATCTAGTTGGTTCCAAACCATGTTTCCCATCTATTCAATTCAGACATTTTAGGACATTGGACCATCTTTCTTGATGCCTGCATGCGTAACACGCCCCCCAATCAATTTCTACATCTTGCTCTGGGAATATAATACTAATTATTACTTACTAATTATTACTTTTGGAAAGAGCAAGATGACGGACTGTCCTTTGGCTTCACTCATCATTCCTATGACTCTCCAGACCAAAACCTTGTTCCCTGGCCAACATATTTTCCCTGTGTATGTTTCCTTCCCCTTAAAAATGAAAGCTCCTTTGAAAAATGGATAGATTGATTTGTCTTTGAGTGCCTAGAGCCTGGTGTTGTGTCTAGCCCAAATTAGTTACTTAACAAACGCTTCTTTCATTCATTCATTAGTTCATTCATTCATTCATGTGCCAGATTTTACATTATCTTATTCAATAATAATACATATTATAATGGTGCTGTGACAGATATAAGGAGAGAGGAGGAGTACTTCTGTTGGGGAATGAAATCATAGTTTTCATGGTAGATGTCATGAGTTGGGCCTTTGAATACTAGAAGAATTTCAGGGGGAGGAAATGGAGTAGGGGTAAAGTTGAGGGGACAATACTCTAAGCATAGAGAACAGCTCAAGGAAAGGCTCGAGGTAAATAAGGATAAGAACTGGGTAACTACTTTCCAGGTATAATATAAAATAAATGAAAGATAGAAGTATAAGACAAGGCTAGAAAAGTCAGTTGGAACCAGACTGCAAAAGGGTGCAAATTTTAGGCCAAAGGGGTGAGACTACTCAGTAGAGAGCTGTTAAAGGCTTTTGAGGGAAGAATGACATGGTCCAGTTGGGCATTAGGAAGATTAACCTAGCAACAATGAAGAGGATAGGTTGAATGAATGAACAAATGTCAACAAGGAGATAGATTTAGGGGCTTTAGCAACAGGCTAGACAAGAGCATTTAGACTAGGGAGGTTGCAATAGGAAGAGTTTTGAGGATTCTTCTATCTATCTCCTAGTCTCTTTAAAGGTGCTCAATAAATCATATATATTCTTTTTGTATCTAGTTGACATTTGAGAACTGCACCTACTACTACATTTCAGCAATGCACAATAGGTTCAATTTTCACCTTTGAACATGAAAGAGTACATGCAATTTTTTTCCTTCTTTATGCTTTCTTGATCATCTCCTATCTAGCTGAAGGAGAGAATAATTTGACAGGATACTGGCAGACTTCCTGGATGTGGAGAGAGAGTTAATATGTATATCCACTTCATAGTTCAAGTAATTGTATGTTTCAGGAGTTCTTTGTGGGAGCCCGTGGACCACAGAACAGAAACAGGACCTGAGCCAATCTGCCTCCATTCCGCTCCTCCCCGGGCACAGCTCTGATGACTCTGTGCAGCAGGAAATTTTTATGGTCTCTGAGTTAAGATTACAGGACTCATTGTGTATAGTGGTTTAAAAAAACAAACTGGTTCACAGTTGGTGTTCCAGAAGTTACTATTTAAACTATTATTAACCTGATTTATTCCCACTCCTGATACATACCTTCTTCCTATTAGGTACCAAGATATTGATTCCCAAATATTTTGAAGGTGTAATAGCCTATTTAATTAAAAAAATATATTTATGGAGCATGAGTTAACATTAGTGCTAAATGTGGTGGAGTCTTACTAAAGACAAGTAAGACCCAGTCTTACTCTAAAGTTCAAAAAGTTTATGATCTAGGAAGGAATCATTCAACAAATATTTAGGATGTATTCTCTACCTGCATTGCACTGTGCTAGGGATAAGAGAGGTAAATAAAAGTTATAAAAAGATAAAATATGATAAATGTCACAAGAAAGGTATAATGTAATGTAGTGACTCAAAAAAGAAAAAGAAAGATCATTGGGGCAGCTAGGTGGCACAGTGGATAGAGCACTGGCCCTGGAGTCAGGAGGACCTGAGTTCAAATCTGGTCTGAGACACTTGACACTAGATGTGTGACTCTGGGCAAGTCACTTAACCCCATAAACCCATATTGGGTTACAAGGATAAGGAAAGGTTCAATGAAAGAAAAAAGTATTTGAGATGGGTCTTGAATGATGGGCAGGATTTAGATATACTTTAGAAGTTGGTAGAAGAAACAACAGGTAAAGAGAATAGCTCAAAGAAAGACATCAGGGCAGAAAAGTAAAAGCCATGTGTAGGAAACACTGAGTAACCCAGATTGGCTGAAACACAGGACCCATATTGGAGACTAGTGGGAGATAAGGATAGAAAGGTGGTCTATGCCTGCTATGATCCTACTATGGAAGGCCTGTAACCACAG